CACCTAAATATACGTTCAAGGTGACGGAGTGAGTCTCCTCTGGAATTGCAATGAACAGCTTATTATTCTTGAAACGTTCTTTTATTCTGTTCCATTCCTCGGTTTTATTGTCGGTAGTCCGGCTGTTTCCTTCCCTTACTTTTGGGATGCAGCGATTTGCACGCGCTTCTTGTAGCTAATCACCTCTTTGGACCCTCTTGCAATGCGATTTTGCTGGAAATCCGTCGTTTAAATAACAGGGTATCTTGTAAAGGTGACTCTCATATAAATTAGAAGAACTCTGTGGGCGTCCTGGGCGTGGTCTTGTATCCATTCAACGCCTTTAAAAGGTGGTCTGATTGGATGTTATTTGTAGACACTGCCCTCTGGTGCTTGCTGAATTTGAATATCTAATGGTGGAAAATTACCTGTTAGGAGCTCGTAAATTATATGAAATGTTAGGAGGAAATCTGAACCGTGTCCTTTGATTTGATTTAGATACTCATTTAATTCAAATGGTGTCTCTTGGTCTTACGTTAAATGATTCATTATTTAATGACTTGAAACTCGTTTTTTTTTTTCTAAATTCATTTTTATTCATTTCTATTAAAAATCATTTCGTCTTCTTTAACGTCATTCGTGATTGATAGGTTTCCATTGTGGAAATAGATCTTTGTCTATAAAGATTTCAATAGATTTTTGCACAATCTTATCTGCCTTGTATATTTGTCGTTGATTGTACATTATTTTATCAATTGAGTAAATGATTGTTAATCAATTGAATTAGCTAATTATGTTGTAATTGTTATTTATCCTCCCCTTTTTTTTTTCAAAGCTGATAGATTTTTTTTTCCATCCTTCCCTTTAATTTTAATTAATTTAGACATTTATTATTATACCGACCGGACTGTGTAAGGGTAAAGGAACTTATCTTGCATTAGAATGGTTCTGGGTTCAACTCCCAGACAAGGCATGAATGTTCTTTCATTCTCTCAACTATCTGCCCTTACAGTGGGAATAACTTTGGCCCGTCTAATATGGTTTCCCCGAAAAAGTGGCCCACAAATCTACCTTAATACGCTGGAAATGACAAATGTTAATACAGGTGGCCATTGGAGAAAAATATTTATTATTTTTTTGATGAAGAAATATTTTTGGATTCCTGTATTGAATTGAATGAATAGGTGAATGGCAAACAATGCCAGCAACAATGGTTTTACTGCTCCAAACGGAAACTGCGTAGCGTAATCTTCTTGAACTATATAGTATAGCACAAATGAAAATCATTGGAAATCTCGGGACGGAAATCTAACTAAATACGGGATCGTGTAACCTAAAGTTTTCCTGAACCAACAAATTTCTTAAATTATATAAAATTGTGTTAAATCAGTTGCAGTTTTAAAAATAAATTCTCGTTTACTGATGTCTACCTCCTGCTTTCTTATCTTTCAAATTGATGCCAAATGAACAGCAGGTTTGGATTACCACCCCGACGTGTTAAATTATGTTGACATCGCAAAGTCATCAGTAAAAATCTATTTAGTGGGGACTTGCATCGCTTTCTGCACAAGTGATTCTTTTTTTTCCTAGTTTCTATAGTCAAACTTAGTTCATATCTCCGTGTAATCAGCCTAACCAGATTACGTAATGTCATTAATGTTTGTAGCAATACTGCTGATTCCATATTCTGTGTCAATAACTCAACTTGTTCCAACATTTAAAATATACTGAGCTATATTTTAAGTCTGTTACATTTATTGTTCATATTTTTGAATTATTAATGATTAATTTGAGCAAGACTAGGCTTTCATTTACTTCGTTTCACTATTTAACGCTGTTTTTCGAAAGCTCTGTTGTATTTTGAATTTATTCTTTTTTCGAATAGTATGCTATTTTTATAACTGCTATGAGTTTGCAACTGTTACCTCATGACTGTTAGGTTAAGTTTAGCCTATCTAAAGCTAGCGCTGTCCATGCTTATTTTGAAAATGGCGCAAAATGTCAATATGGAGAAAAGTCACTAATTTTTAATATTTAAAAACTTACTCCAATGCTGCATTACCTGGGCTCATAAAAATTTGCAAAAACTGAAAATACGACAGTGATTTTCATAATTTTCATCTAAGATGGAAAAATATCCCCAAATTGTCGATTTTTAAAAAAATTTATGAACTTTTAAAGTATCTGAGTTATTTGTCTATTTTAAAGCCCAGATAATTATAAAATACGATAACACATATAGTTTAAGATCATCGAATTGCTTCAAATGTAAGGCACTAGGGCTTTTTATTTTCCTTGGCGACAGAGCTTCGAAAAACAGCGTTAACTTTTTCAACTAAAATGCAATATGCAGCGACTTTATTCACAAAAGTAACGATTTTATTTGCCATACCATTATGTTCGTCGCTAGATTATACTAAAATATCGGAAACTAGGTAGGTGCAAATAAAATAGTCTAAAAATGCTCTGAGATTATAAATCATGTTTCAACCTTTTATCTTGACATGCCCCAAGCGTAAAAACATTGGCAAAGTAAAAACTACCCAAAGAGCAACAACCCGATGAAAGCGATTATATCGATTTCTTTCCTCAACTGCTACTATTTCCCTTTTTCGTCCAATTTGAGCAATTTTCCTAATCGTTCTTACATTATCATTATATAAATAAGGAGAAATAAAACAAAGAAACTAAAAATGATTTAGTTCTCTCTCCCGTTTTGGTTTTAACTCTAATTTCGTCCTGCACCTCCCTTTTAACTGCATTTGCAAAACTGATGATTTATCATCAGTTTTTTTTTCACCACCAGTAAATCGTTTGCTCAATCGCAATACTTCATGTTTTAGCACTGATAGGTTTGTATAATATTCTTAACTAAATTCGCGTTTGAAGGTAGGCTTCGATGTTCTGTTTTTTTTTTTTTTTTTTTTTTTTTTTTTTTTTTTTTTTTTTTTTTTTTTTTTNTCTTTTGTTTTTATTATTATTATTATTAGAAATTGATAGCCTTGCAAATAGCATGATTGGAACTCTATTAATGAATCATCATTTTTTCTTCCAAAATCAAATTATATTTTGTAGGCGTTACCCTTCGATTCATTTTGCTATTTTTCTCAGAAATAGCGTGTGAATAGTGTTTTTTCGAACTACTCAACTGTTATTAACGGGTTGTGTTTATAGTTACCAATTATCTCGCTGTAATTGAGAATGTTTGTCTAATGATTTTGGAGCAAACGTTTAATAGCATTACAACAATTTACGAACTACCAGCTATCATCGATTGGTATTTATCCTCAGTTTTCGTTCTGTTTTGTTTATCAAGCAATTTTATGTTGAATGCATCGTTTGATAGATTTACACGAAAATAATCTTTTATCGATTTAACTTTTATGTGTGTTGAAAGCTGTGAATTTATTAACGATCTTATTGAAAATGAAATTTCGGTCTATTCTGAAATGTTATAAATGATATTGTAATTAATATAAATGATACTTCGAAATTGAAGTGTTAATTATTTCTAGCCAATAAAAGCTTGTCTCTGTCATTCGGCGTATACCTTTAAATTAAAACATTTTAACTTAATTTATTTTTTAGGATATTATGATTATTATTGATTTATTAGTTTCGTAACAAAGGGTTCGCGCTTTCCACTTCATTTAATCAAAATATTGATGTCAAATTTATCTTGATTAAAACATTTTTTTTTCAAAATGACAAAGCTATTTTAATCACTTTATTTTTATTTGCGCTTTGATAAGTAATTGACATTTCAATTTTCTAACAGTTTCTTTTATGTCTAAGTAATTTACAGAGATACATTAAAGAGCTTGGGGCAATTTAATAAGCCACATTTTCAAATGCTCTATAAAATGTCTCTTGATTACGCTGTTTTCTAGATGTTTTTAAAACAAAATTAGTCGTGGAAGCTGGTTTTTTATCTCCTTAACGTCTCACAGCTTTATTTATTTCTATTTATAGCAAGAATTTTTATCGATGCATTAAATCGGAATATATAAAAACAATTTAACCTAACTTTATCTCCCCTTCCCCTAAATTAATGATTTTGCATGATTTTACCAGTAATAAAATCCAAAGTATCCTTATTTGGGTAAAAAGTTAATATATAAATTAATAAATAATAATAGTAAAAGCTATAAAAAAATTTAAGAGCAATTTGCACATAGAGTATAATTTTAATCTGCAAATGTTGAAATTTCAGAAAATTTGTATTTCGTTGGATATTTACCGTACGGCAAAATGATAAATTAATGTAATTAGTCTAGAAATACAATTTATTTATTATTATTTCATTTATTAAAAATACCCTGATTTTTCTTCCTTAAAATGTCTGTACTAAGTGTAGTGTACTAAAACATAAATCAACGAACGGCATCTTAAAAAACTAAATTTATACTATATGCAAATGTTTATTTTCTCAGACTTAAACTAAACTTTTCTAGTTATAATTTTAGAAAGCATCAATTATTTTCTTTGAAATATCTAGATTATTCTATATATGAAGTTTATTTATTTTGGATTATTCACGCTTAATTTAAACGTTATTCTTGTTTCGAATGTTTACAATAGAGTTTAATTCCTTTCCATACACACTAAAACTCGCTCTTAAGTAAATTTGTCGAAGCAGTTTTTCTGTTTATCTAATTTTTACATCTTACGAAATAAATGTAAAAACAATTTATTTGTGGATGTTTAAGTTGTTGAAATATATATATTCTAGTTTTATTGACGTAAAGATATTTTTTTAATTAATTCAGTCTTTAATTTTTCTTTTTCTAATTTTACTCCTGTTTTTCCTACCTTAGATAAACTGTGAATTGGTTGGTTGTTAATAACCAAAATGGTCTTTTATTGGAAGTTATTATCTTTCCCTGAAAACCTTTTATTCGACTTTTTAATAATTTATAAACATGTGGATGAGTGCATAAAATTAATTTGATGTCAAGTTATGTTTAGCTTTATTTGATGTCAATTTTTATTAAAATATATATATTTTTTTTCATGTGCAGTGTGTGGAGTGGAGAGGCGACCTTCCTTCTTCTAGTCTTATGTGCCACATGGACAGTGTTGCCCCTTTTCCTACATGATGAAAAGCCCCTGACTGCTTATTTCTTCTTAGGACTAAATATTTTACAAGGGCTATTAGTTTTCCTCTTTTATTGCCTCAATGCCGGAAAAGTAAGCAATTCTTTATATATGTATATATATATATATATCGTCGTCAGCTCACACGATTCTATCCGCAAATTAGAGTGCTTTCCAATATTGTATTAAGACGGCCAAAGCAATCCACAAATGTATCAAACGCGCATTGATTTATTGACATATTTTGCTTTGGCTATATTAAAAAGACTCTAATTTGCGGATATAATTGTGTGAGCTTCCAACAATATTATATCGTCTTGTTATTTTGTTTTCTAGCTTTTTAGCCTTTTTTTGTAAGCTTTTGAAAGAATTGTATAAACTTGTTATTTTTTGTAGTTTTTCTTTTTCTCCTAAAATTTTTTTTTCTTTTAATCGTGGAAGACTTCTACCGAATCATTTTTAAGGTAGGCAGATGTACAAAATATAAAATTGTGGTTGATTGCTTGAGGAATAAGAAAATAGTTGGAAAGCTATTTATAAACACCTCCAAGTTTCTTCAAGAAATCAATCTGGTTTTTATGTTTTTTTCATCCTGTTTTCCTCACTAGTAATTGAGCAGATTTCAGTAGTGTTCTTTTATCTTCAACGCTTAAATATTATATTGTGACCCCCCTGATGTTATACTTTTTGTTCTTTATTTTTGATAAGGATTCAAGGGCATTAATTATAGTAATTATGGAGCACTTTATACAGTATGTAGTCAATGTATATGGTTGTAAAAATTTAATGCCATTGTTTTGTGTTGCGTGGCTTAAACTAAATTTTGACTGTGTGGGCTTTATCTTTCCAAAAATTACTTGCAGTATTTCTTGTAATTTTTCATTTCAAATATGAATAATTTTTTCGAAAGGTAAACCTTTGTATAACAAGATTTCATTTTCCTTCGTCCAATAGAAAAAAAGAACGTTTCTATCTGAGACAATTGTGCCAAAAATTAGGCATAGGGAATGAAATAAAAGATGGCTATTGTTGAGTTACCTTAAATTTGCATTAGTTTTTATTTCGACCCATCTTGTACAAAATAATCTGAATTTAATCCATTTTGCCCAAAACTATACTCAACTAGATTTTTAAAAAAGATAATTCTTAAAAAATGACAAATTTACTAAAAACTGGTGGGTGCAAAAAAAGAATTACATCATTTATGTTAAAATCTAAACTCTCCTGCTCAAATTTTTCTTCAATACAATTCTACATTGCAGTCACTTTCTTGCTTCACAGGAGTTTAATCAAAGAACATAGATTATTTAATATTGCTCACTTATCACTCTCTCTTCTCAATATTTTTTCACGTCCGTAACATTAGACATGAACCTTATTCTATAGCTTATGTACCATTTCTATAGCTTATTTACCATTTCCTTCAATTGTTTCAGGTCCAGAGCACTGATGAGCCTCCAGGACCAGACTGGTTGTGTTCGTGTTTGAAGGAGCCACCTCGCAGAAGAAGCCTCTACAGTCCTCCGGGCAGTTGCCCGCACAATGTCAGTAATCCACTGTCAAATCCACATATCAATAATCCTACGCAGACGCTTTATCCAGGTACGGCTATCCCCCTCCCCCCTAACGCTTATAACGCGATGTTGCTCTATCATTAACTTCCATATTTCGACTTTTTTTCTGACCATCTTTTATTTCTGGTACTTATTTTGGGCTATTAACAGTTATTAATTTCCTCACTTAACTACTGTCATCGATGCTATTTTTCAAATTTGAGACATTATTTACGGGGCTCTGATTTGTAGGACCAATATTAACGATCGCCATCGGCCACCTCGCGACTAAAATCTAACAAATGGCGAGTAAAATGTTGCCTGTCAGTCGCCACCCCATTGCCACTTTTTTTTCGAAAATGACATTGTGTTAAAAATACTTTATAATAGTTTTAAAAAGACTATTCATACTAGGTACTTAATTTTTTCTTCATTTAAGAAATAAACTTTATAATGTTTTACCATATTTAGAAAAATGCCTGGCATTATTAATATCAAGGTTTTTTTTTATCGTTTAAAAGTGGCCAGTAGTAAATTTTGCTCTATATCTGTCCATATGTTTGCTCGTGCTGTTCGTTTCAGGTCCTTTTTGCCGAGCCATTGAATACTATATTGTTCAGATACAAAATCAGCTTAATTTTCGAAGATTTAATGGCCAGCTTGGAATAATAACTGGAACAGTTTTTGTAAGATCTGTTCAAATAAAAGTTATTTTTTGTTGCTATATGTAAATTAGGAATAAAGTAGCTTAATATTTAAAGATTTGTCTACATGCTTTTAATATGCATTAAATATTTATTTTTAAATTTTGGAGGAAACACGGAATGTGATTGATTTTCTAAACGTTTGCCTGAAAAAAATATGGATATCTTGTACAAGTAAACTTTGTACAAGATTTAAGTATAGCTTTAAAAATTGCACTAGTTGTGAAAAAAAAATTGACGATGTTAAATCTCCTTAAAATTCATGTCATTTATCAAATTTTTAAAACTTTAATTTAGTTAAATGCTAATTCAAAAATTTTTTAAAACGAGGTGAGCAAAACATTATTTTAATTTAAAAAAAATTGGAAATTACTTTACAGTAAACCATTTTAATTACATTAATTTGGTCAATAAATTCGATCGAAAACCTGTGCTTTATTTGCAATTAAAATTAAGCAGAGCAATTAAAGAAAAGAAAAAACATTAAATGTAGTATCCCTGGATAGAGATTTTTACAACAGCATCATGATATACTACAATATATTTTCTTGTTATACTCTTACCATCTTTTTTTCTTTATCTCCTTGTGATTTTAAGTTTCCTGACATTTTAACTTTTTCTGATTATTGATATGTTGTGAAATTTTTATCAGTTTGTATGCAGTTTTATAATTTCATGCAACTAGTATTAGAAATTGGTGATATGAATTAAATTATCAAGCATTGATCGAATTTTAATGCGCGATGCACCATAGTTTCCATTACTAGACATTACAACTGATTCTTTATTCATACTTAAATAAACCAACAATCATTGTGAGATGCTGGTATTTAAAAGTAATTGGTATTTTTTTATATTTGTATAACAAATGTGGGTTATTTTCATTATTATTTGGAATGGCAATTACAAAATCCCTTTAAAAGATCATTTTTCTTAAGTTGATTGCAAAAATTTCCTTTGTTTAATTTTTTTTATGTGCCATTAATTTCAGTATTAATTATCTCTATTTTGGCTATTAATGAAATATCCCCTTTCGGAAGCTTATGTAGAAATTAAGAATAACTGTTTTTAAGTATCACTATTTTAAATTTCGATCTTTTTTTCAATGCATCAACAATTCTCTGTTGTTGTTATTTTTCGAAAAGCATCTCCTTAACAACAAAAACCTTATTTGAGGAACATTGAATGCATAGTAATCTTTTTTTGCTATCGTTTCTCAATTGTTTTTGCTGTATTAAAAGCTCTAATTTGTTGAAAAAAGTTCTTGATTGCATTTCTGGAATATAACAGCACTCAATAGTAATAAATAAACATAGTTTGTATAGTTAAAGTTCAGATACTTAATAATCCTTAAAAACAAGTCTTTTTGATGCGAATTCAAATTCAGTTCCCAGATACTTGATAATTGTGTAATTATTATTAAGTTTACAAACTAGAAGACCCCTGACTCAAATTTATACAAAATTACCAAAGGTTATGGAATCTTTGCTAAGTCCAGGTATTTGAGGAACAATAAATGCATAGTAATCTTTTTTGTTATCGATTCTCAATTATTATTGCTGTATGAAAAGCTCTATTTGTTGAAAAAAGTTCTTGATTGCATTTCTGGAATATAACAGCACTCAATAGTAATAAATAAACATAGTTTGTTTAGTTAAAGTTCAGATATTAAATAATCCTTGAAAACGAGTCTTTTTGATGCGAATTCGTAATCAAATTCAATTCCTATATACTTGATAACTGTGTAATTATTAAGAAGTTTACAAACTGGAAGACCCCTGACTCCAATTTATAAAAAATTACCGAAGGTTATGGAATCTTTGCTAAGTCCAGGTATTGACCGTATCTGAACTAAATATTTCACATTTTTATCTAAAAAAATATATTGCAGTATTGAGTATAACCATAAATATGCCATTGTACTCTTGCTCAATAACAGGAGCTAAGCTAATATGTGTGTAAATTTTAAATAAGTTATTTGTTTGCTATTAGCAAAATTAAATTCATTTGATTTATGAAAAATCTGGGCATTTTAATGTGCTAAATATCATAACGTTGAAAATGCTTTGCTTTGCAGTTATTTTCCTTTTCTTAAATTGCATTCATTCTCTTTTCGAATTAAAACTCAAATAAAAAGAATCTTTGTCTTTTCTAATTAAATAGAGGATCTTATCTTAGGAATAGGACAACAAAGAGGGTGGGGCAAATATGTAACCTGAAAATGAATTAATTCTACTAATGCTAAACATTACAATCGAAATTGAAACCCGGGTGTTTAGAAATATTTTTTTTAATAAATTTCATTCTAATGTAAGTATTATCTGTGGGCGTTTATTGTAGAGGTGTTAAAGTAATTAATATATTTTTTAATAAAGTAAACTGAGATTTCTTTTGTCTTTGTCACCCTTTCAAGCTATTTAATGAAAACCCTTTGTCCCTGTTGCTTATTATGTTGCTTTGTTTTTTTAACTTTTTACTGTTTTCCCCCGCTTTGAAACCTTTCCAAGTGCCTGGATGATTGTTATTCTTTTGTTTGGATGTTTTTGAAAAATTAATTGAATGAGTTTACTGAAAGATGAAAATGAACTGAAAACGATTTAATTTTCCCCTCCATGTATATCAAGCTAATAAAAGCTCGTGTTTTATGAACTTGTGGCAGAATTTTGACTCGCTATAATGCGTTATTTTCTTTTTAAACAAATTTTTATAAATATAATTTGATGAGATTTAAATAACCTTTTTTTTCATTTTTCAATAAACAATAAGCTCTATTGTGCATATGAGATCAATGCATGTATAGTATTTTTTGTTTGTTAAGTATATTTTTAATTTAAATCTTCCATTATTTAATTTTCTTTGTTTCTGAGTTATTATTATAGGGAAAAAAATGTTATAGGAATAAAAAATGTAACACTGCAGTAGTAGTGGAGAACCTTTTCAAACATTAAAAATTCAGATGTCAGACTCTTTTTCATTAAAATAATAATAAAGTGTTTTTTTAAATCATATCTTCTCACCTTTGTGAACATAGATGGCGCTACTTAAGTTTATCCTAACAGTTATTAATACATGTTATGAGCTCCCAATTAAAATACATTTTACGTTATCAAATATTATTGCATATGATAAAGGAGCCTTCAAAGAACAGTCTTAAATATCTTTTCTACTTTGTCAATATGTTAACAAAATAGACACATGTTAACTTTTATGTCATGTTAACTTTTGTTTCAAGTTTTTTACAACGAACTATGATTGATTGCCCACCCAGATTTAAATCGATGAGTAAAAGTTTGTCTGGGAAGTAAACACGGCTTATACGCAGTGCTGACTATATTGCCACAATCATGGCTTTGACCGCGAAATTAAAGAGCTTTAATCTCCATGACCCCCCTGACCTACAATGGGTAATGCTTTACTTTTCTAAGATAGCCGTATCCAATTAAGCTCCTTTTAGTCAAGCCGAACTTATTCTAAAATTAAAGGGAAAAACTGAGATTGTAATTTTTTTATGCAGTATTTGTAGATTTTAATGTTTAAGTCATGTGTTTTATGTTAAGTCTTGGGTGTTGGTGTGGATGGGGAGATCAGAAAACAATTATGATATTGTAAAAAATATCACAACGATATTGAGTAACAATATTTATAATGCTGCACTCTATCATTCTGCAATGTGGTGAAATGGCAGTTGTCTTATTAAATGTTCTATTCTTGTCATTTCTGGCGGATGCCGAAAGTGACTGTTTGTGTCCTTTCAGTGTCCACCCCTGAGATGGAATTTCCTGGAGCCAGGAGAAACCCCTACCCATCGCTGTGCCACGCTCGGTAAGTTCAATGTGATCCCTCATCCACCCACTCCCTCTCGTCTTACGCCCATCTCCAATTCCATTAACAAACACCCCATCGCCCATCCTTGCTTAATAACTAAAGATATATATTTAAAAATTGTTACTGCTTGTGCTTGTCCAAAAAAACCAAATTCAGTGTGATCCGTCCTCGTATTCCTTGCTAATGTTTGCTTTTTGTAATTGTATTTAAGGTAGGGTTGACATTTTCTCTTGAGGAAAACTATTTTTTTCAGGACACTGGGAGTAAGTAGGAAAAAAAAAACGTGAGAAATTGGAAAAAAATGGAAGTAAAACTAAAAATTACTAATTATAGTTGTTTAACGATAACTATTTAATGACTGTTACGTAAATAATTCATAGAAACTGAACCATTGTCTAAGATAGGTACTCTGCCAGACATTCGTCTGGAGCTGTGGCGGTGACTATGGTAACGAGGTATGATTATTTTAAGTGGGGGTGCGGGGTTCCTCTTTAGGACTGGTTTCGGCGAGAGAAAAAGAAACCTCTTCATCGAAGCTACCCTCCCTAAATTGCCCTCTTCTTGTTTCCATAGCACCAGACTGCCGCAGACTTAGTGGCGGTCAGAGTACCTATCTTAGACAAACAGTATTGCTTGATTAAAAAACGTCATTGGCTTCAAGAATATGCAGAAAATTTGACATGTTTCAAGCTCTTAAAAGTAGGCACACATTCTCAAGACTTGAATGAGGAGAGAAAAAGCTGATTATTTCCGCTTCAATCACATCAGCTCATCTTGATGCCAAGGAGTCTTGTTTCATTGATGTCGATGTTGATTCGCTTATTAACGACATTAGTTCTTCTCCATAGCGCTTGGAAATGCATTTTATCCTGATTTGCCCTTCTGGACTACCGTGATTTTTTTTGTTCTGTTTTGTCATATTTATTTTTGTTTCACTCTTGGCTGCTGCAGTTTTCTTACTTTTGTTTCTCACCTTTATATTTAAAATCACTTTAGTATCTTCTCATTCATGTCACTCAAATCTTGAAAATTGGCCTCTATTTTTGAGCACTTGAAACGTATCGACTTTTATTTCATTCTACATATTTTTGAATGAAGTAATATTTACTGAATAGTTCGAACTTTAGACAAATAAAATTTTAAATAATTTTTTTTCATTTAATTTTTTCCAGAAATTTTTTTTTTCTCCAGATAATATATTTTAGTTTCGTGCAAACTTTAAATAATAATTAAAAAAATCTTAATATTTTTTTTCAACAAAATTTTTTTATTACGTGTATATTTTTTTTAAATTTTGGAAAAGTAATTTTGTTTTTAATTATTTTTCTCTTAATTAAAGCGGACTCTTATTTACCAATAAATTATGAGCTAATTTGTAATCCTTAAAGTTATAATACTACTAAATTTTAAGCAGAATACTGCAAAACTACTGAAATGTGCTATAACATTTATATTTGAAAGCATACTAGTTTTAATAAAAATACTCAATGGAAAAAAACTGCAGTTTTAAAATGTTCACGAATGTTTTCATTTCGTACTTAAATAAAC